AGCGTATCAGAAAGAGGGTTTGAATGGTCTGTACCAGAAAGTGATCAATTTCTTATGTGTCAGTGTTGCTTCCAATAATTTTGGTTTAAATTCATCTATCATCTACGCGGGTACAGTATGACTTGCATAATGTTTGTTGAATTGTAATATTTTTGTGCTTCTTGACCTTAACTATTGATTGTAACATGCAAATTTAGAGATTTAACTTTAGGTAGATGTGCACTGGGTAATTTTGCACTAAACCCTGAACAACTGGAATTTTCTGCCTATATAAGGAACAACAAAGAAAGAAAGTAAAAGTTAAACAAACTTTTTTTTGTTCTTCAATGCTCAATATTATTGGGAAGGCATTACTAATGTTTGAATAGTGTTTTGAAAGAATAGTCTAAGAGATGTCATATAAATAATTTGGTTTCCTCCCTTGCGTAGAGCATACGTTATTTGAACTTTCGAAGAGTTAGCAATTTCAGTCTTATACTTTATTATTAATTAACATCACTATTACCATTAATTTTCTTATTGTTGTTGAATTTAAACCAATTTTTTTTTGTTTCTTTTGCAGAATTATTATGTTGCTAATTTTGATTTTTTTTTTTTTATCTTTGTATGTTTCTGACATTTGAGAAGGAATTTTGAACGTTATTTGCTAACGTTTATTGCCCTTATGCATAGTTCTTTTTGGAGGTTACATAGTGGTTTCAGATTTCAGTAGTCATCTTGACGCTTTTAGAAATGTGAAGAAACATGAGAAATATGAAAAAAAAAAATGGAAAGGCAAAAAAAAACTAGGGTACTTAAACGATTAATGTCATAATCAGAAATGTCATTATCGTTGTTTGAGGAAGAAATTTCCTCTTTCGCTTATGTAAGGCAAAAAAAGTGGGAGGATACCAAAAAAGAATCTTTTGTATACAATGTCAAAGTTTAATAATATCGGGCGTGTGGCCATTTACGGTTTATTTAATTTTTTTGTAGTTTTATTTTTTTTTTTACACCTTTTTAGTTGTTATCATTTAATTAATATGTTGATCACTATATGGATTTTTCATCAAAATTGTTCATTAACGAAAATAGAAATTGTCTTTTATCGGTTGTAAATTTACTGCTTGATGAATGTTCTTAAGATTTTGTTTCTCTCTTGTTAACTGTCAAAAATTGTATGACTTCTGTAATTACAATTTATTGTTTGTTTATCGATGCTTTTTTGACATATTTGTTTACTGAAAGTTTTATTCTTTATTGCCAATTTTCAAGAGTTTTCAATAACAGGATTCATACGATGTCCATGTGAAAAGTTCAGGTAAAAATTTTTCTTTAATTATCAGTAGATCTTATTGTTTTTCTTTCTTCTTCGTCAAAATTACTTGTAGTTTAGCGTCCTAATTAACAACCAGTGAGGGTTACAAGTTGACAGAGTTAAGCAACTTTCAAATTCAATTTTTTAAACATTTATTCAGGTAGTCTCTAAACTCTTTAGCTTTGTAGTTGAAGAATTAACAGAAATTGTTCTTCACAAGATATTCATTTAATAAGATTAATTAATTAAAGTTTTTGGAACTGAATTAGTGGGTTCTTAATGGCTTTTACTGCATTTATTTTGATGAAGATGAGTAGTAAAGCCACTGTGTGAATGACAAATGTCGGCGGTTTTGGGCAAAGAACTGATTATATAATTTGCGCTCAGTATTTTCACACAAAGATTAAGTTGCTTTTTTTCAAATTTTCTTGCGTGGATGACTTGTTTCATGCATTTTTCAATATAATGTTATATGAGGCGGATTATTAATTCTGATTTTTTTACATGCAGTATAACTAACTGCATAAGATGGATTAGCTGCAAATATGAAGTGGGAGGGCGGAAAAATTCAAATACGCAACTTATCAGGTTACGAAAAAAATTACACGGTCGATAGTTGGAAAGAAGAAAGAGCAGAATCTTAATTTCATCCATAATTTATGTTTTTATTGGATGATACACTCGTTTTTGGCATCGTTGCAGTAACTTGTATTTTTTTCTCTTTCCTTTTTTTCCTACATCTTTGAAGCAATAACCTATGGGGTATATAAAAAATCTAGTTTATTTACATTATCTTTGTTCTGCACCATATTCTGCTCAAAATCCATATTTACAACCATTCGTAATACAGTATCTGTTTTGAGTCTTGTTTAATTTCCACAATTTATTTTGCTCAGTTGCATTTTATTTCTTTTATGTATATGCGCAAATTACCGTTGTGTATAGGCAGTTGGTTGCGCTTAGGAAACTCTAAAGATGTATTGAAAAGTTTTTGGAATATGATGGAGAAAGTGTTCAGTTAAGTATGTTGGTGTTGTTGTAAGATTTTTTTTTTTGAGAAAGAGAAAGAAAATGAAGGGTTCATAATGTGGATAGGTGGCTGGACAATTAGACAAAAAATTTTTGGTAAAATAAATAATATCACATCGTTTCCTTTTTTAATTTTCTTTGTTATTTGTTTTTCGAAGTATAAGCCAAAATGAATAGGGGCTAGATTTCTCTATTTTTTTTCTTTCTTTTTTCTGGTTTCTTTGATTTCATCCTACAGGTACTCGGCCATTCTTTCACTGATTTCCTTGTTTTTTTTTTTCTCTTTTATTCTCGATAGGTTTGCGTTTTCAGATGGTATTTGATACTGTATCAGTTGCAATAACAACCGGTTAACACAATAAGTACTTGTGTAAACTGTTGGCTGCGACTTTGAAGTCTTATCGGACAAAACGGTGGGTGGTGGTTGCTTTTTTTTCTTTTTTTTTTGTCTGGGGATAGTGTAAATAGCCAGAAAGAGAAAGAGGAGAAAATAAAGGAAATCTAGGTAATTTTATTGTTGTTATTAGTTACTAATATTGTTGTTGTTGTTCGTTGTTAAGGAGCACTTATCATATTTGTTTTTACGATTCTACAAAAATACCAACGAATTTTGGACCAGTGAAGGAAAATTTCACAGTTGTTTGATTTTGGCTTTTTTTCCACTTCAGTAGCAGTAATGGAAATTAATTTAAATGTTTGAAATTGATTTTTTTTTTTTTTTTTTTTTT